GTCTCGTGCGGGAGAGTCGTCCTCGCTGGGGCATGACGGGGGTGTGCGAACGCCTTCGGCCCGCCCGGCCGAGGAACAAGGGCTGGCGTCGCCCTGGGAGGCGGGAGAGGTGGAAGCGCTTTCGTGCTGGGACTCGGCCAAGCTGGCTGGAACGGCTTCTTCAGTGTAAACGTAAGGGAACGGTGGGTTGGCCAAGTAGTTTGCAACAATTGGCAAATTTAAATCCTTCGCTCCTTGACATTCCGTTTCTTCCTCTGTTAATGAAGTTAAGAAATGCGGGGTAGGGGATGGAGAGAGAAAAAAACCCCACCACGTTACTGGATAGATCTTTCTCATTTTGAATATAATTTTCCTACTGTGTCTTAAAACTCATCACATGCCGAGGTAAGCAAAGGATGTTTCATAATGTATCATAAACATGTAAGACCTGGAAAGCAAACAGCGGTAAAATGAAAGAAAAATCTACAATTTCTACAATGGATTGTGTTTTTTAAAAGCAAAGTGAGAAGAACCATTGAAAGATACGTCATTTCCAGCAGCGTCATTCCAGCGTTTCCAAAGGAACTGTATGACCAGTAGTTCTTCGCTAAATCTCCTTTTACAATGTTGTTAATAGTTCATTATGACGCATGCCAACAAATTAAACAGAGTATTTCTTCAGGTAGGTGACTATTAGATATAATGCTTCTCTTACTTTTAAAAGTACTGCAGTAAACGACATTCTTGCCAGACTGAGGATTACAGGACATTAATATTAATGTCAGAGCAGTTCAGAAAGATCTGCTCAATAGCACTACACTCCCAGAATAAAAAAAAAAACAACAAACATTTAGAAGACTAAGTGTGATACATAGTTATTCCCCAGGAAACACATGACAGCTTAACAGACAGAAAGGCAACTATGAACAGAGTTCATTCATGCACACTTGACAGCTTAGATGTTAAAAACAGAACGCAAGTTATTTGCCATGAACTAAGGCCAAGAGATGAGCACCTTGCCTAAAAGAAAACAAAAATGCTCATGCAAAGGACGTGCCGTTCCTTCAGTTGTGGCCATTGTAACCTTGGTCATGATGTAGCTGCAACTGCATTTAAGATAACCACGCACTGGTGATGTAAGAGTGTATCCGTGCAGAGAGCAATTTTCAGTGCAATTCGCAGAAGACAGAACATAACCTTTCCAAAGGTGAAACACTTCAAAGTTTTAATCTGGAGTGCAGTACCTAGATGCTGATGGAGACGGGCACCAGCAGTGTTCAGAAGTATCACCTATAACTAGGGTCGCTGTGCATACAAAAACTAAGATGACAAATTATGGGGCAAAAACTAACCATACGGCAAGTCACAGTCTAACAAAACGCTCAGAAGCCACAACTTCTGAAATGCTGCAGTTGGATCGGATTTGTAGGATTTCTTATGGTCAGACAACAGTCAAATTGTACAATTGTGAAAGCCTCCATTTGCAGCCTGCTTAATGAGAGCAAATGGGGCTGCAGCAGCACATTTCCCAAAGTATACAGCTCTTCAACCCCATGATGACATGGCTCAGAATAAAAGGACTTCCCACCTGAAATCCCCAAGTCTCTTTGCCCGAGTATGAATTACAGTTACAAACCGGAGCTATCTAATAAGATACAATAGTCTTAGCCAAAGTTCTGCCAATCTGCCTCAGATAAAAGCGCTAAAAATGCTTTAGGCTTTAGACCAAGAATTCTAGATGACTTTTAAGATGGGAACGGTACCTCCCAAAATCTTCCGGATGTCTGGTTTTGAAGTCAACTGGGCAGCCAGCTCTCCTTTGGCCGTGAGGATCTGCTTATCTGCACCAGCATCCAGCAGGCAGGACACCACTTGAGCATGGTTCCGCTTAGAGGCCCAGTGCAAACAGGTCCTGCGGGGAAGGAAGCAGAGGGGTTGTGCCTTCAGCCTCAGATCCGTTGCCCCGGCTCCTCCTCACCTGCCTGTCCCAATGCACCCGAGTTGCACATCGGGTGCCAACAACTGGGAATAAAGTTTCCTTCATTGCACCACTTTTTTGAAGGTAGGAGTCTGTTGTGCAGGGCAAGGCCCTCCTTTGCCCTGCTACAGCGTGAAGAGCGACCCTCCACGGCTCGTGTAGGTGGACACGAGCAACTTCAGATGAGGTCCTCGAGCAAACACGCAGTGGCAGGTGGAAGAAGAGTGCCCTCCTTTTATTATCATCCTCTAGCAGTAAATCTCCAAGCCTCCCGAGATTAGCACTTCCTTTTTTTTTT